TGCAGCAGGCAAGAGCTATGAAATGGCAGGTTTGCAATGCCAGCCATGCGTTCTCACAGTTGATTGATTTAAAAATCAGCCCTAACTAGCTCTCAGGGTCTTGCTGATGCTGTGATTTCAGGCTCTGCCAGGAGGGGTCTGCTCTGGCTGCTCTCTGTTCCTGTGCTGGGCTGATCCAGGCGTTTGATTGCAGGATGATTTGCGTCATGGAAACGATCCAGGCTGGAACTGATGCATCAAAGTATAAGCTTATGTTTGCTGGAAGTCCTTCTGTGATAAATTAGGACATTCATCATAGCCCTCCCATTAAAAGAAATGTAGTTATTGTGTTTGATAAGTTGTTTGTCAGCTAAATGGCAGCAGCGGTGTAGGGGTGCGTGTGGACCCTTGTGTTTGTCAAGTAAGTGGTTTTCAGCCTGTTCCCTGAGGTGTCTTTGCTTGTAGATAAGCAAGCTCGAACCGCGTGGTAGAAAAACAGGTGAAGTCAATCCTAGTTCCTTGAAGTCGTTGGATCTTTAAAAATAGCTTCCTGTTATGGAAAATGTTTTCATATAAAAGGAGCTAAGGAACACAATGGCTTGTGCAAAGTCTTGCGGGTTTTTTTTCCCCTTTTCGTTTTTTTCAGTGAGCTAGGGAAATCACTCATGTACCCAGCATTTATTTCATTGAGGTGTTTTTCAACTCCGTTTTTTTTTCGCTGAGGTGTTCCAGTGTGTTTTTCTGTTCGAGTCTGTGACGTTGTTGGTGTAGGAAATGCACATCCTGCTGCTCTGAAGGTGGAAGTGGAGGATAAATGATGGAAAATAGGGACATGTGTTTCAGATTTTGAGTGATTTGTTCATTGCTGGTACCAGTAGTGTTTTACAGGTTTAAAAAAAAATATAAATGAAGACTTTATAACCAAAATAACTCCAGGCAAAATATCTGTTCTTCGTTTTGTCATATTAACATTGAATCAGCAAGTGTAAGAGGAGTGTGAAATGACAATCCTTGTTTTACAGAATCATAGAATCACACAATGGTTTGGGTTGGGAGGGACCTTAAAGCCCATCCAGTCCCACTCCCTGCCATGGGCAGGGACACCTCCCACCAGCCCAGGTTGCCCAAAGCCTCATCCAGCCTGGCCTTGAACCTCTCCAGGGATGGGGCATCCACAGCTTCTCTGGGCACCCTGGGCCAGTGTCTCACCACCTTCACTCACAGTGAAGAATTTCTTCCTAATGTCTAGTCTAAATCTGCCCTCTTCCAGTTTGTACCCGTTACCCCTTGACCTGTCACTACACTCCCTGATAGAGAGTGTCTCCCCATTATTTCCAGGTTCCTCCACCCAGTGTGGTAAATACTTGACTCTTAGACTTGGAAGTTGGCTTTTGACTCCCCTGAACGAGCAGGAGATAAGCGTTGCATTTTCACTGAGATGCTGAAGATGCTTCTGAAACTAGGAGCCATGGCTGTGCTCCATGATATCAGTCAGTAATTTGAAGGATCTGTGTTGATACACAGTGACCTTGGGGGGGTTGCATAGCTCTGGGCCAGCATGGTGAAGGGTGAATGGCTCTAAACCTGTGTTTTGTTTCAACAGTGTTTTACAAAATCCAATTTTAGTGGCCATCATTGACATCTGCTTCCTTAAGAAGATACATGTTAAGACCTTTAAAGGCTTGTTGGGTAATATAACAAGGGAGTTTCCTCAAAATGAAATTGCTGTATGGCTAATATCTACCAGAAGTGGTTCAAAGAAGGTTCTTGGAAAAGAATCTTTTCAAATTTCTCAATAACAGATATAAAGAAATGTTAAAGGGAAAATGCAAAAAAATTACTTGGGGGGACATTTGAAATCTCTTCTGCACAGTTCTTACTGCCACAGAATGTTTTAGTTGACTGCTCAATGATCCATTCAAGCTGTAACTTGTTCAGCAGTTTACTATCGTCTTTTGTGAGCTTTGATGTCAGACTTCTGAATAGGAAGAGCCATACTATAGTAGGCTGAATACTTGATCTGTACAATGCCTTGAATTTTAATGGTGTTGACTTGTTTCAAAAAGCAAAAAAGGCAGGATCGTAAATCAGCCTCTCAGATACAAACAAAGAACTCTCATTTTTAAGGTTGGTGTTACAACTAACATTTTATTTTTGTTTCTCTTTCTCCTAACAGATTTACACGGATTGGGCTAATCACTATCTGGCAAAATCGGGTCACAAGAGACTGATAAAGGATCTACAGCAAGATGTGACTGATGGAGTCTTACTAGCTGAAATAATCCAGGTTGTAGGTGAGTGATCTTCTGGTTTTGTACCAGGTATCCACCAGCTTGCTCAGAAATTCACTGTCTTTATCTTCTGCATAAACACAGGGTGGGAAATCCATCAAACTGTGTGGAATTATGTAGATAATTTTCCTTCAGAGACTTTGCTAATTAATTCAATAAAGCCTTGCCTTAAAAAATAGTGGAAAAAATATTTGATGTGGCTCATAAGATCTCCTGACAAGGCAACATTGCTCCACATAGCTGAATGTTAAAAAAAAAAAAAAAAATGATGAGGGATTTTTTTCTGCGAGGGTGATGTTAGCCTTCACTATCTCTGTTTCTCATACCTTTTGGGGGCTGGCCTGAACATCATTCACAGTGATACTGGCCTGCTGGGTTGAACCTTCTGCCTCCAGCTGGATTTGGAAAATGCATATATGCAGCTAGGAAAGGAGAAGGGGTGTAATTTTTCTGTGTCAGAAAAAAAGAAATCTTTCATAATGAGATTTCAAATAATCGTTTATCATGAGGACAAATCTCAAATATAGGCTCAGTTCTTCAAAGCCTTTAATTCCCTCAGTTTGCACTAATATTTGTAGATAATGAAGGTTCTAAACAGTTTTCTCCATTGGTCCCATGCAAAGCTACATATTGTCCCTCTTCCCTGGGACCTGGATCCTTCATTAGATCCTTCAGAGGCTCATCCATCTGGTCCTTGGGATGCCACAAACACATGTATGGGCCAAAGGAGATTGATGGAAAGGGAAAGCCTGCTAATGGGAATTAGGACATCTATTGTTAGAAGCAAACTGACAGATTTGAGATGCAAATGAAGAAGACAGCAGTGAAGTAACAAGACATTGGTACCTGCGTATTTATATGGGTTTGAGATGCTGCAAATGAGCTAGTTCCTTGATTCGAGGTACAAAGCTGCAAGCCCTGTTTTCGGATGAAATTGCGAGACATCGTTCCAATGACGTCACTAGAGCTGCATAGAGAGATTTTTGTCTCTGTGTTGTAGAGCAGCATTATATCTCAGGAGCATTCTGCATCCCTGCCATGGGGCTACAGATGGATAAAAAATGGGCCAGGAATTGGTTGTGTGTTGACAGGTGTTCACTATGAACAACACTTCATCCTGTATCTGTTTAATAGGGAAAATTTTGGGAAGCCCAGGAGCAGTTAGGTGTTGATTCCTTTCATACATACCTAGCTACCCCGTGTTAACACTGTTGTAGAAAACTTCTACGTGAGAACACGTGTGTAAGAACACCACCGTCAGCGTGTGAACCTGGTTGTACCAAATATTTCAATGTAGTTGTCTGAGTATTGAATTGTGAAAACTTTTATGAAATTCAAATTGCTCCCTCTAAAATACACATAAATAATATAGCCTACTGCATTTTGCTTTCATTCTGCAAGCTTTCAAAAGTTAAAGTACAAGGTGGAGGATTTCATTTTCAGAGAATGTTTTCCATGTGAAAGCAAGTTCATATTTAAACATTCTCAGTCTAATTCTCCAAATTAACAGTGGAGCAAAAGTCATTGGTAGCTGCTGTGCATGGCCTTAGGCACACTGTATCTCATTGTCACAGAGATGGTGACAACTTTCGCACCTAGAAGCAGCTTTAGCTGTAGCCTGCAAAACACAAACTTTTTTCCTAAGAAACAAGACTGTGTAGTAACAAAGCTTCTGTACGCTGTGCAGAGGAGGTTTTTCTTTTTTATGTTATAGTGTGCTACGTGTTGTAAAAGCAGCCTTGAAGATCCTTCCTCCTTTTTGTCATGTGCCTGGAGTTATCTGGAGATTATCCAAAGTAATTGAAATTGATTCAGGTTTAATTATGAGTGATACAATTTGTCTTGTGTTCACCATCTGAGATTTACATCACAAATGTTGAATCTTGAAATACTACTTAATATCCAAAGCTGGAAAAAGAATGAATGTGACTTTTTTTTTTTTTTAAGAATGACTCCATAAGAGTCACTTTCAGGTGTATTATACAGAGACAGTGCTTGCCATCCTTCCTGCTTACCTTCCTTATGTGAAATAGGTGTATATTTAGGAAAATAATATTTTATTATTAGTAATAACTAGGTAGTTCTTTTACCGTAGCATCCAAACAAGGAGCAAATCTAAAAAGACATGAGACTAAATATCACTGCATTTGATTTCAGAGGAGATAATCTTCAGACCTCAAAAGTGCTAATGCTAATATAGAAGCATTATATGATGACAGTTTTTTCTATTTGAAGGTCAGTTAAAATGCATTCGTAGCATTCTGGTTTGTGGGTTTATAAAAGAATACGTAAGTAATATATGCTTTAGTAGTTCCATACGAACATAGTAGCTATATTCTCTAAAGCAAACGTTTAACCACCTTGAGAACTTCATTATTTCACTTGAGGCTTTAAAGATTGAAACTACATCTTTTCCTGCAAGTTGCGTTGGATGTAAGCCATGTACAAGAAGCTTGAAAACTAGTCTTGTGGTTTGTGCTTTAAGAAAAAAAAAAAATTAGAGTTATCATAAATTTCCCATCTAGATTTAAAAATCTGTATTCACTCTACAAACAGATCAGTTGATGTGCAAACATCTATGTCTGTGCAGTGTTCCCTTTTCCACCCAGCAGTGATTCAGTTCCCAGAGTTGAAATCGTTTTTGTAGTGTAAAGGAGTTACCCGTCACTGTACAAGACGTTATCAGACCAGTTGTTTTCTGCCCCCAGCTGTCTCTGGAGGCATGACCCACTAGAAAACTCCAGCTGCTTTTTTTTTTGATGGGTCTCAGTGTTTCACACACTCACTTTGGACAACTACAATCCAAACCCCCTTTATTTAGTTCGCAGCAAGTGCTCTGGAAATAATTGGAATAAAAGTCCTTGCTATATTTTTTTTTTGCTTTATTTCTTCTTTTTTGCTTTTCAGCAAACGAGAAGATTGAAGACATCAATGGCTGCCCAAAAAACAGGTCTCAAATGGTAAGTAGGAGAGTGGTGTGTTGTTTGTGTGTACGTGGCTGAGTACCGAGCGAGAGTGTGTGACTTCACGGTCGGAGACTTAATAACAATTTTAAATTAGTTTTTCACAGTAGTGAGAGCAAAGGTATAATCTGAAGAACATTAATATTACAGTTCTTGTCCCATTGTACTCCGCAATAGTTGAATTAGGCCTTATCATTTATCACATACTTATAATCAATATTGTTCTTACAGTCGTATCTTACATTTCTGAATACCGCATAGTTAAACGGGAACTGTATAAAAATAAAATGTTGTTCTTCTATATAGACAAGAGTATTACAAAAGCAGAATTAGATACTTATTTGAAAGGTGGATTAAGTGTTCCTATATCCTCTGAAAAGATATAAAATAAATGAGCAAAATGAACTAAATGAAAAAATTTCAAATTGCGAACTCCAAGATCTGTTTTAGGTATGCAACTTGGTTTTGACTGTTAAGTTTTAATTTGTAAAATAAGTTCTTTTGTATCTTGCTTGTGTTTAATATTTAAAACTGAAGAACCAAAAGTGAGTGCAGTAAAATTAAAAGCATATATACCTCAAGAGTATATCTACTGTGAGTATTGGTGAAGTTAAAATTATAGGCAGAACTTTACTGAGAACACAAATAATAAGAGACTGGTTTTTAAAATGCATCTTAGGAGAGGAGTGTTTAAGATTTATGATATTATAAAGGTTATTTCCTTCTGTGTCTTGAGAAAAAAATCATTTTACAATATAAATTCTAAAATCTCCCCTTTGCAATGCAAATGCTCACTTTGGGCTGTGTGACTCTCTGTTTTGTGTGTGAAGCTATTTTAATGTTTTTCATTTTTATGACTCTGTTCCTAAGTGCCCCCACCTCCATGACTGCAGCTTCGGCACAACCACTCACGTAGTTAAATGAAAGATTAAAGATTGGATGAGAGTTTGCCATCCTAAGTCAGAAACCACGTTGCGTTTTGCCATTCTGCTTTGGCTTTTTCTTGTTTCTTGGAATTTATCAATCTCATTTAAACCCACGGAGCAAGCGCTCCGTAAAAAGAAAGCCATCTAAAAGATTTATCATTGCTACTTTTTCCTGCTTTGAAGAGGTTGGTTGCTATTCTTGCTGTAGCCACAGCAGCTGTCTAGAATATAAATAATTGAGAGCATTTTGACAATTACTATAATTTAATATTCCACAAGTGTATCATAAGAACTGGATTTCATTCAGGACCACAGTCTGTAACCAATTCCAGGACATCGTAGCTAAAAGTCACTTTAAGTCATTACTCCCAGTGAAGGAACAGCGTTGTTGTGTTGGTTCTTGGATGCACGCTGTAGGTTGCTTATAGATGTCAGATTGGTTGTAAGCAGAGGCACGCAGAGGGCATGTGCTGCGTCAGGAATTGTGAAGAGCGCTGGCAAGAAGTGTTTGCTGCCTGCTCTGAGGCTCTGCTGGTATTCTGGTTGCTCATTCAGGAGGGTGGAGCGAGTGGGACTGTGTCCCCTGCTCGTGAGATCTACTGCACCGGTCATGGCTGGGCATCCCCAGGGGTTTTCTTCATGTGAGAGAAACAAGGATTACGCATATGGCTTGCTTTAATCGAATGCACGTGCTCACAGAGCTGTTTGCCATCTTGCAATAAAGAATACTAAGATAAAACAGAAGTTCATAGAGGTGGTGTTGATGCAGTTAGCGCAGTGTTGAGGGAGACAACCCTTTTGCAGATCTCTTGCATTCTCCTGTGTGTGTTACAGGGGGTCTTGTTTTTCTTAGATATGCAGTCTTCACCTTTCGCATTTGAATGCGGTTTCTGCTTACTATAGCTTATAAACCTTTTTCAGAGTGTGGGAACTGGTGTTTGTGGCTGGTGCTTCTGGTTCAGAGAGGCGGCAGAGGCAAGGCTGTCCCGTCAGTTCAGACACTCAGCCAGGTGATGTCTGGTCTTATTCTCTCAAATTACTCTTTCCGTTACAGGTGTCCACATCTGTATTGTCGGGTCTGTAATGTGGGCATCACAGATGAGTAAATTTGGGGGGGGGGAAAAAAAAAAACAACACAGCATAAATGAAGATTTACCTTTGCTCATGAAACAGAAATACAGCGGAGTTTAGAGGGAAGCCTTCTGCCGTCATCTTTCCCCATGTGGGCAGTTATCTCGTTTGTAGACTCACACGCCACGGGCAGAGAGACATGTGAGCTGAATTGTGAGGAGCCAGCTCACGTCCAGGCAGATGTATCAGCTTAGAAAGCTGGAGCAAATCTATCTTCCAGGCCCATTAAAGGGGTTGTGAAAGCAAGTCTATCTGCTTCCATGTGGCACAGTCCTCAGCCAGCAAAGCCCGCCAAACCTTAGCGAGCAGCATGCAGAGCCAGACCAGGTCTCTTTGTATTGCTGTTCCCATTGCTGCAGTGCTGGAGAGCATCCTACAAATTTGCCCAGATTGAGCGTTAGAGACAGCTTGGGTCTGTCAGGCTCACAGCCAGCGCTAATAAGCCTTGTCAAATTAAGTTTAGTACTGCAGAACCGTTTGGGACCATCGGTGGCGATCAGCCTAGTCCCAGTGCCAGGAATGACATGACAAGGACCCCCGCTGGCTCCGTGAAAAATCACTTAGGTGAGGACCTATCCCCCCTGCTCATCTGGTCTGGGTTTCTCAGCTGTGGGGAGTATCCCTCTCTTCCTTTGCTCCAGATAGGAATTGGCTGGCTTTTGTGTCATCTATTATAGACTATTCTGTGTCTTGTCCTCTGCATAAGAACTGTTTCAGGTTAGGGGTTTTCTTTTCCAAACCTCTATATTTTTGTACTGTAGATATGAACAAAAGCCTGTAATTGTGATGATTAGTTCCAGCTGGCATGCAGAAAATCCTGTGGTTAATAGAGGAGGTGGTTGTACGGAGCATAGCTCTGGGACCAAGAAGATTTGGACACCCTCACCACAACTGCATTTAGGTTTTGAGAATGAAGCACAAGAAAAAATTGGCGTGGGTCTTGAGAACAGGGCAAAGGAGGGTGAAAGAAGACTGTGGTTTCCTCTCCTACACACTTCTGAAAAGAGGACTGAGGTCAATAAACCCAAGTAAGGCTATCTCTGATAATATTGTTAGGTTATAGAAAAAATGGAGATCTTTTTATTTCTTTCTTTCAGTTTACCTCATATTTTGGGGATGATGTTAGAGCTCAACCTTTAGCTTCCTGCAGAATCTGGACTGTACAGGAGGTGCTGTTCAGTCCCTTCCCTCGTAGGTAGTGTAGATTATCCGTATTGATGTGATACCTTTGTGAGTGCTGAATGGTACCTGTCATAAAAGGGTTCATATCACTTATGGTTGTAAAGTGCTAAACAAACTAGAAATGGAGCACGTAAGGGAGTTAGGTGCAGCTATCAAGTCTGGCTGCAGCGGCAGCCTGCAGAAAGGCTGTGTTCTGTCTGCGAGGAAATCTGTCGTGTAAAATGGCCTGGGTTTTGCAGGAAGGTTCTCAGCAATGTTTTAGCATGGTGCGGCAGCTGAGCATTTTATTGTCTTGTATATTAATATCCCTTTTGCATAGCACGGCGAGGAGGGAGTAGGAGGGAGGTAGCTGTGTTACCTATTACACGCAAGGGATAAATCATAACAGCTGAGATGATGGCAAAGATCAGATGATATAAGATAAAGGCCAAAGGACAAGGTGTTTGAAAGATCAGAGCATTAAAGCGGAGAGCGAGGCGAAGGAAAGAGAAGATCTGTATCAGCTAGAATAACAGTGACTGGGGAGAGAGCTGAGTAAAGAAAGCTAATTTTTAAAATGTGGACTTGAAGACAAAGAAGAGAGGAGATACTTGCCAGCGAAGGGATATGTTGGCAGAAGCAGACAACAGTTGAAACATAATTGAAGATGGGACTGGAAGAAGGAATAGAAGTAGCAGCAACGTGGCTTGTAAGAGAGGTAGAGGATTTTTCCCCACCTTGAACATAAAGGTAAGAAATATTGAATCTGACAGTGGAAAGAGATGAGACATATCTCTAAATTTAAGAAAAAAGTGTGAGAAAAGACTAATGAGAAAATAATATTTTTTTCCAAAGTTCAACATTAAAAAAAAATCACAGGTTATGATATTCTAGAAAGAACTAAAATGTTAGGTGTGAAAGTCTGAGAAGTGATAGTGTGTTACCCTTGTTGCTGAAGCCTGACGGAGCGCTGAGCGGTAGCAAAGCTGTCAGTGCTGATGGGAGGAGGATGCGGGGGGAATCTGTAGGTGGATAACGCAGACTCTCATCTTCCCATGCTGAGCGGGGGGAAGTTGTGGGACACCCAAGACAGGAGTTTGGAGCAACAGAAAGGAACGTAGGCTGAACCAACACCACAGTTCCCTCCTATAATTAGGGTAGGAAATAGCTGTGGTTCTCGTGTGGGTTTGCGGTTGGGTTTTATTATTTTTGAGGATGATCACTTTGTGTATGTAATTCTGTGTTATCAAATAACAAAGCGGAGGTATTAATTTTTTTTTCCTGTGTTGACTGGAAGTTTTTCAGGACTCATCCCTTTCTGATGCAGGTATCAAGCTGTACTGTTCAATCTTTCTACTCCTCTTTATCTTGCAAACGTAGAGAACCTTGTAGTGCAACGTGGGTCAGAGCCTACTTTTCTTCCCAAGAACTTTGTGACGTCGACCTGATGGCTGTGTTGTCAATATGATGACTTCATTTACAAGGAAACCTTACTCTAGGGGTGGCAATTTGTCTATTATTTTAATATTTGATGGGTTTCTTGTATTCTGAAAATGAGCTGTTCTGTCATGTCTGTAACACCCAAGGCCACAGAACAGTTTGTATGGAAACTCTCCAGCCTGGCAGGGCCCCTGCTTTTGAAGGGGGCAGCGCTAGCAGTTTGAATTCAGCTGTTAGAGCTGATGGTCCACTTCCCTCCTCGGTGTGACCCTTGCCAGCTCCACCCCATGCTCTGTGAATCTTTTTTTGTTGGAGAAAAGAGCATGAGATGTTGAAATC